TGCTTCTGCGTCCACGGGCCGCGGCGTTGCCAGGGCTTAAATGGGAAACGTATGGGAGCCTCCAAAGGACCGGATTTGCTGAAAAAAACATCGTTCACTGCGGGGGGAGTGCAAATAAGCGTGCAAATAAGTGTGCCAATATGTCGAGTGCAGGTTGGCTAGGGAGGATCCTGCCTCGGGCGGGGGGTGGGGGGGGTCTCTTCCAGCCCCGCATCCCTAGGTTTCTTTGGTGCTGTGTGATACCCTCAGATGCAGTTATTTGTTACTGAACACAGCTCGAGTGAAGCCGTTTCGAAGCGCTGCGTTTCCACCGAAAGAATCGCGGCTCTCCCAGTAGAAACCACAAGCGTATTAGGCATTCGCCCGGTTTCTCCTGGAACAAAGATGGCAGCGCTGGGAGGAAAACAGTCTCTCTCTGACCTGGTAGAGGTCTTTCCAGGGAGAGTTTCTCCTGGGAGAATGAGTGCCTGTACGCTTCTCCCTTTGCCTGACTCCTGGGGCTCAGGCAGAGGTGAGTGGCGGAGAAATGCTTCTCCGCGCCCTCCCTAGACGGGGGAGGCAGGGGGAACGGCTGCTGTTCGTCTCCTCCCAGTTCGGGGAGGAGTTTGAGTGGTGGGGAAAGGCTGCTGTGCCTTCAGACCAGGGTCGCCCTGATCTGGAGAAGGGTGGGGGGAGTGGGGTAGGCTGGCACCCATCAGCTTCTTGCATCGGAGTCCTGAAGGCGAGGAGCAGGCAGGGGCTTTGCACTGCTTGCTTCCGGCCCCCTCCTCAGACCAGGATCCTTGGTGTGAGGAGCGTGCACGGGCTGTGCCACTCTGCCTAGTCCGTTTGGCTCCTGGGCACTGGGAGCCAGGCAGAGCGAGCAGATGCTGCTTGTTCTGGACAGGGATCCTGGGTGTAAGGAGCAGGTTTTGCTCCTCCCCCAGGAATGGGGGACTAGAGCAGGTAACCCTAGTCTGAGAGGCACAAAGGACAGGGCACAGCTGCAGACTGACGGCATTGCTTGATTTCCTGCAAACATTTCCAGCAGCGGAAGTTTTGAATGAATGACTGTTCATGGGCTCAGTTGACTTAGCTGATGGTGTTTAACATACGGACAGTCCTCAGACTTACCACACAATTGGTTCCTGAAAACCGTGTTTTAAATCGAAACGTTGTAACTCGGAACCCATTTTCCCATAGGAAACAATGTTATAAATGGGGGATTGGTTCCTGTGAACCAAGGCCCAATACCCTATTTTCACCAAAAATACCCCAGAATTTTGTACTCTATCAATTATAGATGAGTAATATAGCTACATTAATATATTTATATTGTAAATAGCAATCATTGATTTGGAAGGACTTCTTTGAGGAAACGTTGATTGATGTTTTGATTGATGTCTTGGTTGGACTTTTTGAAGGGTTCTTGGCTGGACTCTTCTCAGGAGTCTTGGCTGCAGGTATTTCTGGGGTCTCATCTGCTTTCTTAAAGAAAGTGTCCAAGGAAGTTTGGACAGATGTTCTCCAGGGAGATGGGCAACGCAGCAAACTTGTTCGCTGGCGTGGCTTGGCGTCAGATCAAGTGTAAAGTCGAAACTGATGTCAGAAAGTTGAAACAGGGTGACAGTTTATAAACGTTTTAAGTGTGAAACGTTGTAACATGAAACATTGTAAGTTGAGGACTGCCTCTACTTAAGTAATTATTTCTGTTACCGTAGGGCTTGTTCCTTATTTCATGGTTTCATAGTTGGTAGGGTCGGAAGGGACCTGAGCAGACCGACCCCCAATTCCCTAAAGCAGTGGCTTTCCAACTCGTTTGGCCATGTACTTTTTACCTGCAAAACATTTGTGCTCATACCTCTGTCCTAGGTGTCTCTGTATGTTAGCTCCTTAGGAAGAGTGACATAGAAATGAATACACGGCAACACTGTTTACTTGCTGTGTGTTGACCAATCAAAAGCTCCACTATCATTATTAAAATTTTGAGTTTGTACCTCTTGGCAAAGCACCTTGTACCCCAGTTTGAAAACTACTGCCCTAAATTATTGATGCTATCGTAGTATGGCACTGTTACGAATAGTTTCATGCATAAGTTATCAGCTCTCTCTCATATTAAAGACAAACATTGATTTTTAATTGCATATTATATTTCACTTGCATACCAGTTTCTATTTGGAGATTTTGGACCTTT